TATCTTAATATATAGAAAATCAGAGGTGGAAGGGAGCACTTGTTCATTTTAGAGCAAACAAAACTGAGTATGGACTATGGAGGCAGTTGCAAGTCTTTGTAAACTGTGTAGCTTAGGGAGGTGGTAGAAATAGGATGTCCAGTCTCAGAGGAGTGTTTGCCATTTGTAGGGGGGAATCCCAAGAATTTTACAGGCCACTTGGCTTTCCACTTGTCTGCTGAGGGAGTGAATTGTTGTGTAGGATCTTAGTTCGTGTGCATGAACAGTAAGCTTCCTTTCACCATTACAGGCTACAGGGATACCAGTAAAGAAATTGTAGGAAAAAGCAGTGATTGAGATACGATGCTCTAAAAGAGATTCTCTTGACTTTGTCACTAAATATAGTGTGCTATGCTGTTCTGTGGACAAATGACAAAACTAGAGAAGAAGAACTGGGCACATGCAGCAGCCTTAACAGAGGTTATTTTCTTTTGCAGGCCAGACAGAGTTTTAATGCATGAGTTGGCTTAGATTTTGCTGCTAACCACATTGTTACAGAATTTGCTTTAATGAAGTATATACAGACACAGCTTCCCCTGTTTGCTTTTCTTTTCCTCCTCATTTTCTCCTCTGTGTCAATATCTTAAGTGCTCTTTTTTACTTAATTTTCCTTGTTTTCTGATTCTTACTTACAGGCTTTATTAGCTGAAGTATATAAGTGGCTTTTGGAGCAGTCCCTTGGGTTGCAGTTTGGAATTAGTGTAGTTCCTTGTGTAAAAGACTGATACCAAGTAGGATGTGCGCAAAACCTGACCATTAGGGAAATGACCTGATGAGTACAAAATAGTGTGAGCAGTTTCAAAGGGTTTCCATGGCCTCATGTCTCTGAGGGGTATAAGGGCACTGATGGCAATGAAGGGTTTTTCCACCGTCTGTCTTTGTGCGGTCCCATCAAAGTTCTCTGGGTTAGATGAGAAGTTGATGAGTAACATTTTTCTCCCTGGCTAGCAATCCTTCATACTTGAACTGTTTTCCATTCACCAGGATCACAGCCCTTTTAAAAGAGTTTTCTCACATTTTGCCCTTTTAATATGTTTGGGTTTTAACACTTGCAAAATCATGGGCATCAGTGTTCCCTTACAGATGGTTATATTGGGTGCTTCGGAGGGAAGGAAATTAATTGCAAGACTTTAGAGGTATAAAAGCAAGGGCTAAGGATGGCAGCGGAGATTTTGTTTTGTCAAACCAGCATTTGGGAGGTACCATCCTCTTGTCAAATCCCACTTTGGGGCTGCGGAGAACTTAAATTCCTAGGGAATGCCAGGGCTTAGTTACAAATCCTTTCTAAGACTGCTTTTCCTTTACATAGCAGATGGAAATTGCTTTCAGGGGAGGGAACTTCTTAAGTTTTGAAGCCCTGAAGAAAATTAATAAATTCATGTATTTTAAACCCAGAGGGGAAGTATTACAATCGGGTCTGACCTCCTTCATAACTCGGGCCAGGGGAAGTCGCCTAATAACCCCTTCATGAGCTCGCTCAAGCGTGCTTGAAAAGACAAATGATTTGACAGAAATTGTTGTTTTAGACATGCAGGGGGGGAAGTAGGTGGAACGTGTGAGTAATTTCCCTGCACATAAAAGGTCCAACCTGGTGTTAATCCGAACTGCAAAGTGAATTTACAGAAATATTTCTTCACTAAGGCTTTAGGTTTTATGGCAGCGTCGGAGTAATGCAGAATGCAGGCTTAAGGCTTCTCTTGGAATTAAAAGCTGGTTAATTCCCAAATGCACTGATTGTGTGTTCCTGCTGTAGTCACATAATAAGGGGGCAGAAAATGTCAGTATTTTGTTAAAATGAAGAGCTGTGAATCCTCTTTAGGAAAAGCTGAGGCATGCACATAACATTGTGGCTGGAACAGTAATAAGGCACACAAGAAGCTCTTTAAAAAAGATACGTGTAAGATGATGGATTTTTTTTTAAATGCAGCTAGCAAAATTCTGCCTTTAGAGCTGGGAGAGAAACGTGGCAGAACTGATCAAAGAAAATAGCATCTCATTGATAAAACACATGCTGCAGTACTTCCCACAGTTGGAAGACGGTAGTAGTTAACAACGGTGACCTAGATTGGAGGAGACAATAAAAGCTGTTACAGTGACGACCAGATTGACTGCCATCCTCATCTGGGTAATAAACGGCTGAAATATGGACAGCATAGGAAAGTTTACTAATGTAGCTTGCATAAAGACCTGTGCTTTTGGAGGAATTGTCCCTGTAGCAGATTCAGTTTGAACTATAGCTTGCATCTCATAGACGTTTATGTGCTCCTTTACAAAGATACTTATTACTTTATTCAAGGATCTGTTCAGAAGTATGACCTGATTAAGTTTTAAAGTAAATCAATATGTGAACCTGTCCAAAACCAGACATGCATTTATTTAATAAATATTACTCAGTGGGATAGCCTCGAGGGGCTATAGTTTTTCTGGAGAGTTTCAACTGAGATAGTGGTCATATGTTGTTATTTTAAAATACTCAGTGCCATGATGCTACTGTTTCAGCTACCGTGTTGAAAGTAGCTGTCAATAGGAGATTACATTCTTGATGCTTTGTAGCTACAATTGTGAGATATTAAAACTTGTTTAGCTCTTGACCCTGGGGGTATTTTGTGGTTTTGGTTTTTTTTGGGGTTTTGTTTTGTTTTAAGAATGGACCTATTGTAAATTTTTTCCTTTTGTTAAGTGGTTAATGTTAGTGCTTATTGTAAAGTTCTGCAGTTAAGCTTTAGGTTAATATAAATCCAAATTCTAGAAGAATACACTGTCAATCCAGCTGTGACTCGAGGGATGCTTTAAGTAAGTGCCACTGAGCTGTAAAGACCAACGCATCCCTACTGTGCCATAAAACTAAATATTATTAAATTGGGTTGTGTGCAGGGGGAGGGTGAGGGAATGGGGGTTGCGAGGGACATCTGTTCTCTGCAGCGCTTTCCTCCTCCTTGCTGGGGGGATTTCAAGCGTAAGCAAAGAGCAGCTCCATCAACAATGGGGTGAGGTGGTTCCCTCACAGCACATTGGGTGTGTGGATCCTTTCCCAGGCCCGGTGGTCACTGTGTATCATGTACGACCCTGACCGTGCCTGGGGGAGAGACATCTGCCTGTCTACAGACCTGACCTAAGAGCGCTTCAGATCCTGAGAGCTTGTCTGTTTTGGGGCTGTTACCTTATTTAGTTTCTCTCTTTGATTAACTTTTATTTGCTTTCTTCTTTTTATTCCTGTTTTCTTAACTAATAATGTCAATAAAAATGCTTTTAGTTCATGCAGGTGTTCCAAAAACATGTATGCGGCAAGCACAGCAACTTCAGTTTGTTAGTTGCTTTATTTCCCCCCTTCTTGCCATCATGGCACTTATTCACATTCCGTATAGAAGGAACAGGGAATTTTGTATTTCAAATTCAGTTCTGCAGATTTTGAAAAGCTATCTTTGAATATTCTATAATACACATACAAATTGGAAGAGCTTATTAAAGAAAGCCCCTGACACACTTCAGCAATATTAAATCACTTCAGACGGTGCATGGCAGTGTAATGTTACTGCAGCATTTAAAAATGTTAAAAGAGCCTGGATTGGAAAGTACTAGTGGCTTCACAGCCCTCGCTGTGAAAAGTGATTTAAACTGTCAGAATTATTTCAATGTTTGCAGTGTATTACTTTCTTAAATGACAAAGAAGGGACATTAGTAAATAACTATAACTGTAGTTAATCTTTTGCCAGCTAACCAGCTGATATGCTGGGTTAATATCTATATTAAGTAGTTATTTAATAACTGGGCAGCTGTTCAGACAGGCCAGATGGACTTCATTGTAATGGTGCTAATAATGAGAACTTCTTCACAAAAAGAAAGGGCAATAAGAAGATGCATTTAGGGAGGGTACATCGTGATAAATGGCTTTGGGACAGTGTGGCCCTCTGCCCTCAACAGACTGGCTGAAGTAGGTGGCTCATCCTTCAAAGCAAGAAGGACCAGCAGTAAGAATAGGAGTCATGGTTTATTCTTTGTTTGGTGGTTGTTGTTTGTATATTCTGTGCCTCCACAGTCCATATATTCCCAGTCCTACTTGCAGCCTGGTTCCCTCCCTTTGCTCCAGCACATTTCTGCAGTGACTATTGTGGGTTCACAGCCAGTGCATTACGTATCTCCCAACAAAAACACCTTATGTAAAGCTGTAGCTTGCTCCCTAAATGTTATCTTTTTGTCCCTTATCCTGTTTGTGTTTCGTAGACTTAATTAACTGTATTTTCAGAGTCCTCTCCAAGAAAAATTACTAGATGACTGTTAAGAATTACAGCTTTGTCTACATGGAGGCAGATTCTTTTATATTAAAATCATTATCATAAGCAAGAGGAGTGGCAAAGCGTGATGTTCTCAGTATGAGTAATGAATCTATTTTTCATTTGTCTTTGTTCAAGTAGGACAGCAAAAGCATTGAAAGAGCATTTGAGGAGTAAAAATCTGAACTTATTATCTGGCAGTACGTTTTTTCCTTGGAATTGTTGCATTTAGGAATCTAGTCCTCGCAGAGTTTTTTGCTTTTGGTGGCATTTCCAGCTACTTCCTGGAGCGTAGTCTTTGTCCTCCAGCTGCTGGTCCAGAAATACACGTCTTCTGTATGCTTTGTTGTGTTTCTATACTGCGAAGACATCTCAGGTATACTGAAACATCTCAAACAGGACAAGATGACTGTGTTTAAGCATCTAAAATTATTGGCAGTTGACTCTGTAGTTGGAAAACTTCACAGGTTTTTCCTCAGTAAGCTGGCAATGCTTTGGTTTTTGTTAAGTTTTAATCTCAGAAAATGATTGTTACTTTTTGTTTCCTTCTTTAACAGCACTTGAAAGGAGTGAATGAGATGAACTGTTTGGGGTATAGTATCTGAAAGGCTAAATTATTCTCTTGGAGAGACGTTCTAAATGAGCCTGACCGAGATCCTGGATCTGTGTGAAGAGGACTAAGGATATAGGATGTCAACTGAGACAGAACTTCAAGTGGCTGTTAAAACCAGCACAAAGAAAGACTCCAAAAAGAAAGGTAGCAACTCATTTCTCTTTATTTGTACTTATTTTGTACTGTATTTGAACTCCTGTATCAGCCACCTTTTTTGCATCTGTGATTCTTCTGTTATCTATTCACTCAGTGAAAGTGAACTTTGTTAAGCCAAGTGGAAGTCTGGTATTGGAACATACGATTTGATTCTCTGACACTAAAAATACATCGTATTGAAATACATTTAAAATGTAAGAAAGAACTTATTACAGTTCATTATTTTTTTTTTGTTTTTTATGTATATTATAATTATTTCACAAATGGAAAATACAATTTAAAATATTACTTCTGGCAAAAGAGAATGTTTTTATTTTTCCTCTGTTGATTTGTTCCTACCTTGTTTTGAACTAACCAGAGCTTAAATGCACTTTGTGTTACTGGAGGTTGAATCTTACTGACACTTTGTGAAGTTGCAGAGAACTCAGTAACAATCTATAGAGAGATTAATGGTGATCTGGTAAAGGAAATATAAATGGGGAGTAAAACTAAAGGAGAAGCTGTGAATAAATGCATGGTTGGATGCATTCATATTTCTATTCACAGTTTTGTGTCAGATTGTAGGGCACTTCTTTGGACTGATAAGCATGAGAAATGAGAGGATATGAATTTGGTGCTTATGAATAGGAGTACTGAGAGACTTTAGTAGGGATTTTTGTCCTGAGATTTTTATTCATATCTTTGTTGCTTATGGTTTTAATTACTGATGAACCTGGGGGTAAAGACCTTGAATTCTAGTTGTAATTCATGTTGTCCTCTGTAGCCCTCTTTGATTTTTGCTGTTGACCGATATTGATAATGAAATTGAGGTTGAAAACAAATTTAATATGAATTGCTCAAAATAAAGAAGTAAAACAGAATAGTTTTAATACTTGGGGCGTCAAGATGTGAACTTTCAGCTTTTCAGTTTGTCGTTCTACTTCTTTTTGTGGGTGAATAATTTAGCCATTTACTTCTGTGGATTTGTTACATTTTTTAGGACAAAACCTAGTTCTTGTCTTTGCTAATACATGTGTGTGTTGCAAATTTTACTCATCTTGGATAACTTGTTCCACTTCTGGGCAGCTATACCTTTTAGTGCAGTGATCCTACCAAACAGCAATCAAGAGTCTTGTGTTGGCTTATAGCTTGTGTTTCAGAAATTTATATACTGGAGTTTTTAAAGAGACACATCAATGTAAGAAATTTAAGTGTTTGTTTGGGAAGATGGTTTAGAATCATGATTGCTCTAGGCCTAGACTCTCAAGCAACAGATGATTCATTTAAGATAAAACAGCTGTAGTTTGGAAGGGCACAAACAGGGGCACTTTTATGTAAATGGAATGTGATCTGAGAGATGTTCAAGGCAAGTAAGAAGGTAAAGATGGTTTGGTTGTATGATCATTCGGTATTTAGGGGCAGGCAGGAAATTGGAAAATGTCAGTTCTTTGCTATACAGATAACATCTTTTTGATATGTGTCTCCTATGTTATTTCTTCTGCTGGAGGGTGAAACTTTTGAAGACAGCAAACAACTGTTTTTGGAACTCGGTGTTTATGTTAATAAAATATTCAGCATCCAACTTGTAAAAGCATTTTCATAAATCATAATAACTGAATGCTTCTCTGCATAAAATCTGATTCTATCCCCCAAATGGAAATTCTGAGAATTACCTTTACTGCTGAGAAGGAGTATAAAATATATTCTATGGCAGTGATCATTGCTCCCTGCAGCATGTACAAGTATCTGAAGAACTGGAAGGGACAAGTGTAAAGCAGTAGCTCATCTTCAAAATTAATCTTGCTCTGTACTGTATGTGCAATTCCGTGTGCATCTTATTGCATCCAGCCATCTGAAGGCCTTGTGGTACTGTGAATACTTCATACAGACAAGGTATACAATTCAGACAGTGTTTGCTATTCAAATCCCACATAATGGAAGTCAAAGGGAACTTGGTGTGCTCATTTACTTGTCATTGATCGTATGTATTTGCCTGTATTTCCACCAATGAGCCCTCATCTGTGTAGTGTGAATGATGGACATGTGAAAAACAGGGAATTCTTTTCCTTCCTTTTTTGCCCAAGTTCATTAACTGCGAGCGGTGACAGGAAACAAGCACTAACATGAGGTTTCTAATGTTATTAATCAATGAGTTTGATTATGCAATGGATTAGAGTATTCCCAAGAAATTAGTCTTTGCTTTATAAACAGAAAGTTCAGCTGTAGTGTGTTTATGGTGAATCAGGTTTTCTTGTGCTTCTGCAAAAGCCATGCAACCATTTCTATTCACAGCAGAGAGGAGCCTCTTCTGCTGTGTTATCTACCCAGAATGGTAGTTCTGGGGCAACAACACCAGAGGGATGTGGAGCTGTTGGAGTGAGTCCAGAGGAGGCCACGGGGCTGCTGCGAGGGCTGGAGCAGCTCTGCTCTGGAGCCAGGCTGAGAGAGCTGGGCTGGGGCAGCTGGAGAAGAGAAGGCTCCTGAAGGGGACACCTTAGAGCAGCTCCAGGGCCTAAAGGGGCTCCAGGAAACCTGGAGAGGGGCTTTGGACAAGGGCCTGTAGGGACGGGACGGGGAGAATGGCTTTAACCTGCCAGAGGGGAGATTTAGATTGGATATTAGGAAAAAACTGTACTGTGAGGGTGCTGAGGTGCTGGCACAGGGTGCCCAGAGAAGAGCTGTGGCTGCCCCATCCCTGGCAGTGTTCAAGGCCAGGTTGGACACAGGGGCTTGGAGCAACCTCCTCTAGTGGAAGGTGTCCCTGGCCACAGCAGAGGAGGTGGAATGGGATGGTCTCTAAGGTCCCTTCCAACCCAAACCATTCTAGGATTCTATGGTTCTCTTGCCATCTGCAGTTCCCAACACTGTGCGAGAAAGAGCATTAAGTTTGAGAATAACTTCCTAATGGAATGTCTATCCCACGCTGAAGATCTGGGGTGGCTGAAAGGGGATGGGGATTAAGTGTGGAGGTAGAGCATGGAGGAAAGCATTCTTTCCTGATCTCAGCCTAAGTCTTCTGTATAGTGTCAGCTCAATCTTTATTGTGCTCTCTTTCTGTAGAAGGATATAGTAAGGTAGTGTTTCTTATTTGAAGTGTTGAAATAATACAAAGCTTAATTCCTAAGGTTAGGATGTATGTTTAAAGTTCTTTTATGGTTTCTTAGAACTACTTTTAGGCTCTGTTGCATTGATTATGGAATTTGGGGTTACAGGGCTGAATTTGATATCTGCTGCAGAGGGGACAAATGACATTAATGCTCCGGCAGAGTTACAGCTTTTACTGAGTATTTCTTTTATGTGTTGGAAACACTTCCCTCTTTCTGTAGTCATATGCAAAGCACTTCTCTTACAGGAAGTTATTAGAACTTTCCTCAACAGGCAGGGTGATTTTACTCCCATAAGCTTTCTAGTTATCATCAGCTCTTCAGTCTCTCTCTATTGTCACCCAAGTTGGTTTGCAAGACAGTATTCTGTTCCAACACTAAAGGATTGTTACTATGGTTGGGATGAGAACTTACAAAATCCTCTCACACTCTGCAATTTAAGTAGAATTGCAGCTGCAAATCTCTAATGTACTATAGGGAAGTTCAATATTACCATGATAATATCAGATCGTAATTTTGTATGTTAACATTATCACCCTGGATAATCTTAAAAATAGGCTATTAAAAAAATCAAGTACTAATTTTGCCTTTAATTCAGTGAGTATTGATCTGATGGATCCACAATTTGACAGGCTCTAGAAATACTACCTGGTCATACTCCCAGGAGAGGGTAGGAGTTTTAACCGACTTGAAAACAAAGATGAGATGAGCACCTCCCTTCCTCTCCAGTTTGTCTCTTATTGCTTCCTGTACTGTGAAGATACTTACTAGTTGAGGGCCCATATTTCACCCCGACCTCTGCAGCCCTCTTCTCTACAATGTATTTTTCTACAATAGCTTACTGTGCACTTGATGCTATTAGAGGAGATTTCTGCCATCCAGCTATAGCCCTAATCTTCATGCCACTCTTGACTGATATCTACTAGTAAGTCTTGTAATTACCTTACTTGAAAACTTGCTCAAACTTTAAAAGACACCCCAAAGAGGTTTCATGTTGCTCTCTAAAAGGAAATGATGCAAAAATCTCAGGAGATTCAGAAATCTGTTCTAGGACATTTTTTGGTGATTTTTTGGGTGAGTTTGACAAAAATTGTGTGTTCTTTAAGAAGCAGGTAGAGAATTAATGATTTAAATAATGCTTTTAAAGGCTGATTTTATTTCATTTGTTTATGTCATCTGATTCATTGAGTGGTGAATAAAAAATATGTGTTTGTACCATTCAGGATGGGAAATTAAAATCTTTTATTAGCCAGAGTTGTTGGAAGCATAGCCCATGTTTGCTGTGTAGTACATGGCGGAAAAGCCATTTTATAGGTTTCTATGGATTATTGGATCAAATTGAAAACATTTACTTGAGCTTATTGGAATTAAAATTGATTTGGAAACCTCTTTGGGGGTAAATGTGTTGCTTTGATGTTGGATCCACACCCATAACTGCCTTGGAAAATCCATTCCTGCAAAATTAACTTAAACAAGTAACCTGAAATGGGAGGTCAGTAAAGAAGTGAGCTAGGTACCAAACTTGAATGCAAATCTGCATCTTCTTGGGGGCAGCGAGGAGACTTTTCTAGGGATTTCATTTCTTCCTCCTGCACTTAAATTCTGTAATTATTCTATTTGAAGCTTTCAGGTGTTTTTGCTAAATCATCTCTCATTATACCCCCTATAGTCAGACTTTTGAGTCAATTTTCCCAATGACAGGGACTTTTAAAAATGGAAGCGAGATACAAAGAAGAGCTCAGGCATGTTGACAGTCAGCATAAACAATCTTTGATGCTAAGGATCCCCAGGGGTGAAATTCCCTTTCTTAATAGTTTTCCACTGCAGTGCCTGGAAACGGATATCACAGGAGGCAGACAGCCAAGCCCAGGATTGCTGTATCTAGCTGGTAGGAGGGTGAAATTT